GGGAATGTAGCACTGACACAAGATCAAAACCTTATTGGTGATTTCTTTCAAAACCATTATGTTGAAGAAGGAAATAGAAGGATACATGAAGAAAACCTAGTCACGTGACATAAAAAGTACCTGTCCCGAGGGGAAGGGGGCTGGGGTCAGGGGCAATGGGTGAAGGGGGCCGGCTGTATGGTGACGGGTTGTAACTAGACTTACGTTGCTGCTCTTCACTGGGTAGTCACACAGGTGGAGAATTATAATGCTGTGCACATGAAACCTGTATGTTCTAAACAAATTTTTACCTATAACAGATGTACTATATATAATATACATAGAATAATATGATAATAAAAGCACTGGTACTATTGTGATTTCATTTTCAATAAAATCAGTTTTTCAACAGAACATATACTCAAAAAATTCAAATGGTATATAACAGTGCCTGAAATGAAGACAAAAAGCCCCACATTCCCACCACAATGTCTGGTTTTAATATGATCAAGATTGCCCCTATATTTTAATTTGGTAAAGTCTTAAATTGTTTCTTCTTATTTTGCTTGGAATAGTATATATTCATATAACCCCAAATAATAATACAGTTCTTTAATCTACTTGCCTCTTGTGAGTAGAGGGTCAGCACGGGGCCTGGGCCAGGGGAGGCTCCCTCACCCTGGGAGCCTCCTGTGGCTGGGGAAGAGCAGAGGGAAACAGCGAATGGGGGGTCATCCTCCCCAGTTGTGTGGAATGTCACTTGGGTTTGGGGAGCTGCTGGAATGCAGGCCTTGGGGCCTCTGGAATTGGGGTGGGCAGCACAAAAGGTTTGTGAGAAATAAAAACAGTAGCCCCCCTACATACACTTCTGCTTCCATCTGTGGCAGCCACAGCCGCCCGTGCAGATGAGAGGACAGAAGAGCTGTGTGCCTGGGTAGCTGCCACGCTCCCAGGGCAATGAGGATGCTGTATCTGCCCTGGTGTAGCCCGGTATGGCCAAGCAAAGGAAGTATTAGACCAGCAGAGCTCAACCAGGGCAATCTCCAGCCCCCAAAGCCTCCCAGGGGACAGCTGTCATATTTTGGCCACACTTTCGGCTGTCACAACTGGGAGGGGCAGGGACTACTGGCCAGCGATGTCGATAAACATTCTATGATGCTGCACAGGACAGCCCCTAAAACAGGGTATCCGGCCTCACATGTCATAGCGCCCAGGCCAAGAAACCGTAGATTAGACTAGAGTGTACTTGTGTCTTGTGAGGCCCTCTAGCAATGAGCCTGAATCGCAGCTATGATGCTACCCCACAGGTAAAATGTGCAGAGCAGCTCTTGAGACCGATGACAGAACAGATGAGGGAATTAGCATGTTATACTTTCATCTGCACATCTTGTGCTTAATTCTGTAGTTACATTCATTGTATTTTAGTTATTATTTTTTAAGTTTTATATTCTACTCTGAAGTTATAATTAGGTTTATACTGTTTCATCATAGGTTGGTTCTAAAATGGAAACAGCTAGTAATTTTTAAAATCTTCCATGTCTTCCACAAACAAGACCCAGATTTTAATTTGAAATATTTTCTTCAGAAAAGGAAAATGTACTGGTCCAGTTTGAAAGTGCAACTAGAAAAATAAAGCTGGTGCTAAAAATGTTAACCTAAAAAGTGGAGCAAAATTAAAATATATATATACATATATATATATATATATATATATATATGTATATATATATTTTAGAGGAAATCCAGTTAGTTAAATAGAAAAAGAATCATCAAATAACGCAAAATCACATAATTAAGAGACTTTCAAGTTAAGCAGAAATCAGAGTGGGATGGAAATGGCTAATCTTTGTCAACTCTGAAAAGTGTAGGTATCAACAGAAACTAAAATAGTGTTTTTTAAAATACAACAGCAAAGTATTCTCTGTAGACATATGATTCAGTAGCTCATCCTTAATTAGGTATTTAAAAATTGTTAAAAATGAATACATATTAAAACTATCATTGACCTAAAAATGTGTTTAGAAAACATGCATTCTGTTCTTAGGGAGACTAATATTTTATTATATTTTTGAATTATCAAGTGTAAAGTTAAAAACTATGCAATTATAAAATTCCTGCTTAGCAGTAACTGTAAACTGTACAAACTAATTAATTGATACTTCTGAATTAAAATAGTACTTAACTCAGTGGCTATCAATTGCTATTTATGGTTCTCAATTTCACTCATCAAGTATTTTTCACTTTATCAAAATAAGTAGACTTTATGGCTAATGACTAATCCATGCCAGAGTGGAAAATTTACAGGGTAAACAGGAGCAGCCTTCGCTTGTTCACAGCCTTGCATTTTTAAAACACCAATCCCTGTGACCATGACCAGTTAATTCATGATTTTAATTTTTTAAAAAATTAATGAACATATATATTAAAAAAGAATTTTCAATATACTGTCTACATTTTTACCATCTATCAATGAGCCATTAAACTTCAGAGCAAAGTTGAATACTGTACACTAGGATATATCTGTAAAACATTTTTTCCTTGAGTTATTCTGAATAAAATTTAGTAGAGAGATATCTTGGAAGAAAGCAGATTTTTTGCCAGGAAAGGTTAATTTCATTCAGAACAAGTAACAACTCTGGACCGTCTCTAAAAACAGGCTGTTGAATTGACCTATAAAAACGTATTTTCAAGACAGAAAAACAACCAATATGAAAAGTGGTAAAGTTCAGTTCTAGAAACACTTTTCAAGAGGGCAACTGAATAGGGGACAGTTCATACGACATAAAACCATATAGACATATATTTTTAGTAGTTTGGTTTTTTCACTTAATTATACATGAAAACGACAACCTGTTATTAAGGAATCATTGTTAAAATTGTGATAAAAACAAAAGCATAGCAATGTGCCTGGGTTTATGGGAGAAAAATGACTTTGCTGACTTTCAGAATTGACCTTATGCTACACAGAACTAGAAGCTCTCCAGAAACCAGGGAAACAGGATTTGGTTCTCTTTTAAAAACATCTCAGATGTGGAAAACTCATCAGAACTATAGAGTGAGACGAATTCCCACTCAGGACCATTATCCCTCATCCCTGTGAACATCTTACCCACACAAACCAGTTTTGGTTAAGTGAAGTACACGATATTCCAGTTAAACACGACGGCAGCTTTCATGGAGGAGGAAGACTGTAGTGACTAAACCACACAGACAGTGGACAGTCAACAGAAGTGAAGCCCAGGGTCTGCCCTCTGACCTCTCACCTTGTAACATCGACCAGCTAACTGAGCCCCTTTGAAGCTCAGTGTTGTTGTATGGAGGCAGGTGGCCAAAACAAGCCTGCTTGACAGGGTCCTTGTGAGTATAAAGTAAGAAGCACATACACAACAGGGTCGAGTACGTCACAGCATTCAGAAAGTGGCAGCTACTGTTGCTATTAATACAAAGAGTTCCACAGAATGTGTCCACTTGTTTTAGCAAACAGGCTGGGTGAGGTTAAACTAACACTACAAAGACAACATAATTCTTAAAGTTTTCAGCAACGGTGGCTCAAGTGTACAAGAGAGACTTACATCTGACAAGGATGATGGAAGACCAGCAAATGCCAACGTGAGGGCCGGCTCCACCGTCCCCTGGGGAGCCTGGCACAGAGACAGCCAGTCAACGGTTTAACACCTTTCCTGTCTTATAACGGCCAAGACGAAAAGGTGCATGTCATGTTTAAAAGTGACAGTACAGTCTTGCGTGGTAAAACCACGAGGCGGAATGGTCTGAACGGAATAGGAAGTGTTTCTCAAGGAAACCGCAGGAAAGCCAAAGTCAGTGGTCAGACAGGCCCAAGCAGGCGGTTGCTTATTATGGCTCACAGCGCGATACCGAAGCCAGTTCTTTTCAAAACAGTAACCATTATCTGTCATTGTGGCATATCAGAAAGATGTCCTGGCTCTGCTACACTCTTCAACCCTAACCCGCAAGTGAGAAAAAAAGGTAGAACAGAATTCAATACACACACACACACACACACACACATACATACATGATGGGTAGAGAGACCCCAAAACCTGCCTCCAACAAGCCCCTGCCCTGGGGATGCACCCCTTAAGGGCTCTGCACTCCACTCCACTGCTGGGTGAGAGAAGGAGGTGTGCTCCGAGGGCAAGGCCCTCCAACCCGTGTCCCCACGGGATTCTGCTGAGATTACAGAGTTTCAGAAGTTTTGAATCTGAAGGGCAAGGACTCTCCAGGGTGCACAGACTTCTCTGCTCCCTCCTGCCTCCCAGCCACCCGCTCCTTGAAGAACTATAAACCTGCCCCGCCTGGACTCAACAGCAGAGCCTGCCACACGACCTCGAACACTCAGGCCAATCCTGCCACCATTCGGTCATGCCACTCATTGTCAATAACTTTTCCTCTGTTTTATTACAGTTGGTGGGGATAATGAGTTGCTAGATAATAAACTGGAAAATTAGATATTCATCTCTAGGATTGTGAACGATGTATACTGTAGAAAAGAGTCAAAATACAGGGCTTTTAAATTAAGATACAAGAGTGATGGTGTCACTGATGATTTTCTGCCAAAAACGGACCATAGAAATTATCTGCTTCTGCTTTATCAGGAGGTCTGACATTAAAAGTCTTTTCAAGAACTTCTATACCCTGATTTGTGTATAGAAGCACATATGGTACATATATATATGTGTGTGTGTGTGTGTGTGTGTATATATAGGACAAAAAATATTTGTCCTAAATTCTAAAGCAAATTCACGTGTCTGCAATCTTTTTTGCAACATGTTTCTAATGCTGTGAGAGTCAGGATATGACAATGATCACGAGAATAAGCATGGCAGAGGATGCAATTCTTTACAACGCAAGCGGAGAAGGGAGAGGTGGTTTTCCACCGTAATCCTCTCTAACTTCCAGTTTCAAGCAGGTTACCCTGGATCTGTGTCACGCACACCTTGCTCAGAGCTACGTTACCAAAGCATATGAGAACCACTGTGAGTCCAGATACGGATACTAACTTTCCGAGTTAGCGGATGACAGCTGTCTCCCACTTTGCCCAGAGGTGTGCAAATCCTTATGCTCTTAACCCAGATACTGACAGCACAACACATGCCTCCACCACACTGGGGGTCCTTGTCGCAGGCCTGAAATGTAATAAACAGACAAATATAGATAAGTAGGAAAGGCTCAGGGTAAGGAAATCTAAAATTAGTGGTAAAAAATGCTCTTTAAATATCCAACAGCTATGCTTTTAACAGTCACATAAAAAAAATGAAAATAAAAAAAAAGAACTGTCATCTTCATTTGCCTGCCCATATTTACAATAAAATCTGATCAGATTTTCCAAGTTTTTAAAACATGGCCTGAACAGTGGCCCACACATTATGAAAATCTTAAATAGACACAAGATTAAGACAAAAACAAATCAGCTCTCTTCTAGTGCTTCATGGCTGGATCGGCTTTGAACTTGAAGAACGAGTCTGTATTAGTCTTAGACCATACATGGCCATTAGGAACTACATAAATCGAATCACAAGATTTTATTACTATTAACTGCAGAATGCATTGGGCCCAATTTTAAAAAGGGATTTAAATGGTCTCTAAATCTGGCATGAAATGCTCTAGACTCATAAAGGCACTGATGTAAATTTTAAAAGGGCTCATTCAAATATTTGCATTTTAGTTCATGAGACATCATGTTTCTCACACCACTGACTTGCTTTTTGCCATTTCCTCTTTAAAGAAAGAAATCTCAGAGGTTAAGAATGGACAGACCAAGACTTTTGCCTTATGCTGCTCTCTTTTTGGGTGAGTAGCAGGAGTAAAGGTAATTATTAGCTGAGGATATACATACGTGCACATTACACAATCAGCTGAACTATTCTCTAAGATCCATCAGATTTAGAAACGCAAGTGACAGACGCAATTATCAACCTTGAGATGCGATTACTCAAAGCATCTGTTCCCAACATAAAAATCACATATACACCTAGTCAAAGAATCATTTATGGATGAATTTCCATACTCTACTAAACAGAAATAAATAATGAAGTCTCATTTTTTTGCATGAAAAAAGATCAGAAGAACTGCTGTTCTTTCCTAGAACCAACAAAAAAAATAGGACGCTTTGTTGAATGGTGCGCAGTAATCTTTTTTGTTAGCAAAATGGGAAAAACATTCTGTGCTGTATAAGACTGAAAAGACTATAATTTAGACACAAATTTAAATGTTTTTATTGGTAACAATTAAAAAAACCCCTTCAAAGTTCTTAGTTTTGGAGACTGCCATAACTTCTTAAAACATAAATATATGGGCATGCCCTTATTATTTTTTGTTAACCGTGACCAACTAACTATTTTGCCTTAATGTTGGTTTATTTCCTCCACTGGAATTTTTTGGTTCAGTTCATTCAGTCTATTTAAAACAAGTATCTGGGCAAAACCCACAATTTTCACCTATGGGGTATTTGGACATTTACAAGACAACATCTAAACATCTCCATTTTCCAATTTTTATCTGTACACCAGAAATCATGTATACATGGCCATTACATTCCAGGAACGAGATGTTCAGTACACGATACTTCCCAACATGGTTATAACAAATCTATGTGGACATATAAATCAATTTTAAGATAACTGCATATATTACCAAAAAAAGTAATTGTTTAAGGTGGAGGTTTCAGGCAGTACTTAATTTCAACAGATGCTCGAGACCTGGAATTCTGAAGCCCCAATAGCTCCTTTTAGAAAACAATCAAAATCCAGCCAAAATATTTTAAAACTTCAATCAATCACCTGGATGTTTAATATCCTATAGATGATATATCTAGATAAGTTACTGAGTCTTTCACTTGACTCCAGATGGTTCCTGTCAAGGAAACATAACTATGTTTCTTTATTGCCATCTTGCTTTAGAAATTTTTTTTAAAATTTTCTTCTTGAAACACTGAGTTAAAATGACAAGGAAAACGGCACATTTAACTCTAATAGAGCCAATCTAAATCTAACAGATAAACATCTAATGTGATAAAATTTCATTTTGTAACAAAAAGCTTCAGTTCTTGGAAATATTTACAAAGAAACTGCAAAGGTTTATATATTTTTAATTAGACAGCTGCTTCCTAATGCCCTGCATCCTTAACCCATTGCAGATCTATTCACATAGGGCTGTCCTGTGAATGGAACAAAAAGATACTTATATTGCAAAGGAATTTTGGGCCCAGAGGATTAGGAGAAATTTTAAATGAGCCAGCAGGGGAAGAGGAGGAAAAAAACCTAATCATGTTTCAATTCTCATGTATTATACAAACCTGTAAAGACTTTTTTCAACCACACAGAATAACAAAGCTGTTCAAATACATCTCTAAAAAAAAAATTCTAAACTATTCTAATAAAAATCATGGCGCTTAATAAATTAAGTATCTATTAACTGTAACCAAATGCTGTGGTAATACAGGGCTTTCAAAATGCTGTAAACCTATTCGCTAACAGGGAGACAACAACTTGATTTTCTCAAGACAACTTAAAATAATTTAAATATTTTATTATCTATGTATCATTTCAATCATACAGGTCTTATTTAGATCCTACAATGTGCACTTAAGTCTGTGAAGTAATTTAATGGAGGTGTTTAATAATTTCAGTCTTAAAAAGAGAGTGAAGAAGCTGACCAACCAAGGAAATGGTGGTTTTGCATTGTTGACGGTAAAGTAGACTAGACTTTATTTCCTACTGTAACCTCCTCCTTCAGATTCACACAAGGAAAATAACTGGTGAGACTGGGAGAGAACTGAACTTTCTCTAGTAGAAAATTTCTGCTTCCAAAAATGATGGAGATCTCCTCTCCAAAGTAAAACATCTACATTGCCCCAGCCTACTGCAAAATTGTGCCAGAGTGCTGGAGGCGCTTTATCGGGAATTGGAAGTGGAAAACTTCCACAGGGAGAACCTCAAGACGCTGAAAACAAGGCCTGGAACCCACAAGGGAGGGCCCACATTGCTTTGCAAAGCGCACACATGGCCCCGGACCAAGCTATTTCAAAGGGTTCGGTTCCTTCGGTGGGTGGGTGGACAGCGAACTCCTTGACTATAGGACTGAGACTCCCGGACTCGCGGGACTTGGGGTATTTGACTTGCCTCTTTGCATTTCAGGAAGGGGCCCTCAAGATATGTTTCGAGGCTGGAACGCCTCAAAAAGGTGCTTAAGACTGAAAAAAAAAACACATAACTTTCAGCTTAAGAGAGAAACAGACCAAACGCGAGGAGAGAACGCGGGATACGGGGCAAGGTGGGGCGACACTTGGGTCACTTTGCCTTCCAGGGCACGCAGCGTCCCGCGCCGTCTGCTGCTTTTTGGAGCCGGGCACTTTTCCAAGCGCGCCCGGGGGAAACCGAAGCAGGTGTCCCCGCCCCGGGCCACCCTCCCCGGGCTGCTCGCCTCCCCGTCGCCGCGCCCTCCCGTGTCCCCCGTGCGCAACGCGGGCGCGCCTCCCGGGCGGACAGGTGCGCCCGGGGCGCTTACCCCGGTGATGACCGCGGCGTCCCCGGTGGGGGGCGTGAGCAGCAGGAGCAGCAGCAGCAGCGGGGCGCAGCGCGGGCTCCTCATGGCGCCCTGGGGGCTGGCGGCGGTTGGGGGCCGTTGGGGGCGCGGGGCCGGAGCGCAGAGAAGCGGGCGGGCGTCTGGCGCGAGCCTCGGGCCGTTATAAAGGCGAGCCCCGCCGTGACTCACGCCGGCGCCCGCCCGGCAGCACGCGCGGGGGGCACGGCGCGGGCACACGCCCCACGCCCCACCGCGCCCGCGCGCCCACCCCGGCCGCCGCCCTCCGCGCCGCGCCGCGCACGTGCCGCCGCCCGGCGCCCCCGCCTCGGGCGCCACGCAGGCAGCGCCCCCCGCGGGGCGCCCCGCTCCCGGCCCGGCTCTCGCCGGTCGCCCGCGCTGCCTTCCGCGCGCGCCTGGAGCGCTCTTGTGGCCTGAAACACACTCATGTGCTGTCCCGGTTTCCAAAGCTCCACGTGCCCGGCGCCGAAAACTTGGAGTTCATTTGCTCTACAGATGTTTCGGGAGCGCCTACTACGTGCCAGGCGCTCAGACGCCTGGCAGAAGGGCGGGCGCGGCGAGGGGTGGGGCGGGGGAGGGGCTGCAGGAGCCTCTGAATTGGTTCGTTTGTTGAGCGGGTCTTTCCAGAGCGCCCGCTGCGGGCCAGGTACTGCCCCTGGGGTCTGTCCTCGGGGTCCAATAACCGATCCGAAAAGACAGCAAATAAACTGGGAAACGTGGAACACAGGGAAGAAGAACAAAGGGAGCGCCAAATCACCCCTAATCTCCCATCCCTGACGACACTACAGGGTTTGTCCTTCCAGCTGTGGGAGTCCAATTTACTTCTTTCATTTCAAATGCTTTCCCTTTATGCTCACATCTGTTCCCGACCCTCTCGTCTCTGATTTTCATCACACGCATTTCCTCCTTTCTTTAACATCGCGCCAGCTTCAGGCAGAGCAGTTGAGGATGCCAAAGGGAAATGAAAACGCCTGGCCTCGGGTGCCAGCCTTAGGCCCCTTAAGCCATAGGTAGGCTCTCCTTTCTTTTACTTTCCAACCCAGGAAAACCAGCCTGGTTAGAGGCGATTTGGTGTTAACTGTGATTCGTCCGTTCATGTAAACATGACTTGAGTGCCTACTGGATTCCACACCACCCATAGAAGACGAGTGACATTCTTGTCTCTCCATGTCTGACCTGAGTCTAGCTTCAAGAATCTCAGCCAGATTTTTCCTCAGCGAAAATGCCTTCAAGAATACCTAGGTGTGCCCACGCCGAACTTGTTAGCCCCGAAATCTTGGGAAGCCTGACTTTCTTCCTGAATGGTCAGAACCTCTGGCTTTTTCCTGGTCCTGTAAGGGCCACAGACTGTTGAAAAGCAGATGCGTCTTTCAGCCTCTTTAAGAGATGCAGCTAGGAAAGTCGGGACAAAGTTACTTTCAGACCGTGGGGCTCTCCCATGCCAAAGCATTCAAACTAAATGTGTAAAGAAAAAAAAGGCAATGTTAAACAGCTGAATATTTGAAAAAACCAAATCTTTGATTTTTAAAACCATTTTACTCCTGTTTTCACGTTCAAGAGATGTCTTGAAACAAAAAAAAAAGAATTCAACTTTCTTAACTTTAAGAAATTGTTAAAATTGGACTCACAGTAAAATAAGTGGAAACAGTAGCAAGTGACAGATTCGTGGAAAGTTTCCTTTTCCAGTCTCCATGCCAACGCTAGCATGGGAATGCTGCCTGGTAAGTAAATGTAAAAACCAGCCAACATGGATTTTAACATTCCTACAACTTTTTAAAAAGTGGTCCATTTCGTATTTGCTACTATTGCATGCCAGTTTGGGCATTCCCTGCTTCTCCATAGACAACAGGATATGTGTACATAGGAAAATCAGATTTCAAAAGCGGATGGCTTCATATGCTGCTGTTTGGAAAACAATCCTCCTAAGGCTGTTTTGAAACAAGCTTGGAAACACTTAAAAAAAAGGGTTGGTTTGGTTTCATGCTGTTCCTTTTGATCATGTTGTTTCTTTTAATTGTTCTAATGCTTTAGAGAAGAAGTGAAGGCTTCTTATAGGACAAATCTTTGCATCCATGGCCAATTAAGAAAATTGAAGTCTGAAAGTTAGTTCCATCTTATAAAGATGAAAAGGTTTAGTTTGGAGTAGTTCATTAAAACTCACTTAGGTAGGAAGGCCATCCCACCAACACTAAAACAGAAATTAAAGAGTCAATTATTCTATTCCATTTATTACTGCAGCCTGTTGACACTGCCCCATGATCAGTTCAGCCCAGGGAGAGATGAAGAGAACCAATCTTTGTGCAGCTCAGAGCGTACACTACTATATTTTAGCAGCCCATTCAGGCTCAGCTGAATTGAAAGGGCAATCAGTACAGGAAAGTCCATAGGACTCCACATTTGTGAATCAGACTGAACTGGATTGGAATCCAGAATGACCATTGGGCAAGTTGCTTAAATCTTTCTAAACCTGTTTCCTCACCTATATATGGATATAAAATACCAACCTCACGGGGTACAACCTCCATGGAGTTTAAGGAGGATGGTACCTATAAAATGCTTAGTAGAGTACCTAGCACAGGATGGGATCCCTGTTAGCATTACCTCTTATTAAAGCCTTATTATTTAGTGTCCTGTGACAATTTCAGCCAACGCTGATGTAGTTTTCCTGTCTTGACCACCGATGGGATTTTATACTCCTTCCCATTAAGATCTGTGTCCAATCCCCACTCATTCCCCTTGGTACTCAGCACAAGGAGAGTCACAGAGCAGGCCCTCAGTAAGTAAGGGATGATCAATAGGAATAGATTCTACGGAGGACAGTCCAGAGATATCGAGAAACATTTAATTTGCACGTATCAATTAAATGTAGTCATCAGAAAGCTAGAGGGATAACTACTCTACCTGGAGCAGTAACTCAGCCTGCCATTCTACTTGGTGCTCATGTGCCTGAAATGAGCTGACCCGGAACACCAGCCTGTCTCACTGCAGTCATCCTGGGGCCCAGGCCAGTGAAGCCTCCATGCCAACATGTGCTTCTTAGCTGTGAGTGTGGGATGGCGCAAGGGGTTAAGCTGTGTCCCTCCCAAAAGCTATTTTCAAATCCCAAACTCAAGTACCTGTAAATGTGACCATATTTGGAAATAGGGCCTTTGTGGATATGATTAATTTAAGGAGATGTCCTACTAGATTAGGGTGGGGCCTAAATCCAATGACTGGTATCTTCATAAGAGAAAGGAGACGGGGACCTGGACATAGAGAGGACATGCAGACCCCACGTGGCGATGGAGGCAGAGGTTGCAGGGGTGCATCCACAAGCCAGGGTATTCTGAGCATCGCCAGCCACAACCTGAATGAGAACAGTCAAGAAAAGGTTCTTCACTAGAGCCTTTAGAAGAATCATGGCCTTCATGACACCTTGATTTCAGCCTTTTAGCTTCCAGAACCATGACAGAATACATTTCCATTTTTTAAAAATTAAAGTATCATTGATACACAGTCTTACTTTGGTTTCAAATATACAACACCGGGGTACAACAGTTACCCATATTATTAAATCCTCACCCCCTCTGGTATCTATCAATGGGGAAAGATGTTACACAATCATTGACTATATTCTCCATGCGGTACTACCGTCCCTGTGACCGACTTACATCATGATCGCAAATTATTGTGCCCCTTTTTCCCCCTCAACCTCCTCCCACCACCCACCTGCCTCAACTCCTCCCCCTTGGTAACACTAGTCACTTCTCAGTGTTTATGAGTCTACTACTGTTTTGTTCATTCTGTTTTGCTTTTTTAAAAATATATTCCACAAATAAGTGATAAATGGCCACTGGTTGTGGTAATTTATTGTGGCAGCCCCAGGAAACTAATACAGGTGTCAAGTGCCTCTGCCTGGAATGTCTGCGTATCACCTGTGCTCACATTTTAATGGCCAAACTTCTTTTGTTGAAGGCAACTCCATCCTCTGGACATGACCTTGGAGCTGCCCTTGACCCTCTCTTTCTCTCACACCTCATATCCAATCTATCTGGAAATCCTGGTGACTCTGCCTTCAAAATACATCTTCTGTCATGGCCACACTTCTTGTTCTAAGTCACCATCATCTCCAGCCAGCCTAGATTATGGACAACACAGAACACACAGGCATGCTCCCGCGTTGGAAAATCTATCCTGAAACTCCTCTCCAACAGGATTGCTCTTCCCCCAAATAGATGAGAACTCGACTGGCTCCCTCATCTCCTTCAAGTGTTTGCTCACATCTCACCATCTCAAGCAAGCTTCTCTTGACCAACCTTATTAAATTTGTAACTGCGCCTGCACTCTAGATGTCCCTTATTTTGCTTTCTCCTGTAGCACTGGGCACCTTTGCACACACACGGTTATTTGCTGCTATATTACCTGCATTGCCTTGCTCCACCCCCACCCCATCCCATCCCACCCAGACCAGAATAAAAACTCATGAGATTGGAGTTTTTTTTTTTTAAAAAAACTTTTGTTCACCCATTTATCTCTAGTACTTGAAAGTGTGCCTGGCACATAGCACACACGCAAAAAATATTTGTTGAACAAGTTAGTGAAAATGTAGAGCACAGACTGGAGGCCAGATAGGGTGGGTGAGAACAGGTCTGATGGGGGCTCCTGCTGACACTGTTGGCAGAAAAGAGGGAGAGAAGACCTGATTCATTCAGGCAGAGTGTACTATTGGTTGAGATAAACAGTGAAGAAGGAAATGTCAAGATTCATCCCCAAGATTCACCTCGATTAACTGATCAGCAGTGGGGATGCAGGAAATTACCTGGGTGGGGAGAAAGGCAGTCAGATAGGCCAGGGGTGCAGAGGAACAGGCTGGGCTGGAGATGAAATTCTGGTGAGGTAGTTTCCCCTTAAAATTTTTGTGTGTGCCCATTTCATACTAACGCAGCCACAGTGGTAAAAATCTAGATCAGTGGTTGGCCAGCTGTGACCGCCTGCCTGTTTTTGTAAATAAAGTTTTATTAGAACATAGCCACCTTGTTTATATGTTGTCTATAACTGCTTCTACTGTACAATAGCAGAGTAGAGCATTTTTGAGAGAGATGATATGGCTTGCAAAGCTAAAAATGTTAATTATCTTATAGAAAGTTTGCTGACTCCTGCTTTAGGTGATAAAGAAGAGTCTGGAGTTTCTCTACTGCTCCTCAGGGCAAATTTGATACCACCACATCTTCCCAGGCCTTTTACACCCTATATTTTGATGTTCTCTGGTTTGTCAGTTTAATTCATCTGCTTCCTGAGTTTGGAAATTTGCCCCAAGTACTGGCTTCCTGATGGACCCCTAGCATGTTCACCTGGTTATATGTACTCTCATTTCAACTGCTTGTTACATAGTAAGTGCTCAATAAATATTTGTGGTTGGAATTTGAAGAGGAAGGGCAATAAATGTGTGCGTAGTCTGCTTGCTTTCACTGACAGCCAGGAACATTTTCTCAACTATATACATGAAGAGAACTTGTGTTACTCTTTTACAGGAATTCTAGCTTTAAAAGTAATTCTACCTTGCTTGAGGACCTTTACTTCTTTTGTGTCTCTTCTTCACATGTGACTCCTTTTTATGACAGCATAATAGGTGGGCCCAGTAATTTCATAGCTGGGTCCCATTTGTCTTTGTGTAAATGACTTTCATTCAGATGGGCTCAAAATTAAGTAAAATAGGTATTCTGTTTGTTTACCTATACACTCCTTGATCACTGTACTATTACAGGGTGGCTTTTCTTGTTAACAAACTAAGAATATCAGTCTGCAATATCTTTTTAAAATAATAACCATGATTTAAATGTGACATATGAGAAATGGGATTGCTTTTATAAGAGATTGCTTAAATAAGACATCTATTTGAATCTATTTCAATGCTGATGATTCCTCTTTATTTTTAAAAATAAATCACCATACAATTTGAAAGCCAATTGTCTATGGAGGCACTAAAATTATTTGGTCTATTCAAGTGATAATGTACAATAAAGTTTACCTATTTTTAAATAGTTGAAATATTACTCTGAGAGAAAGAGTTTTTCTTAAAACAATTAGTTTAAAATGCATTTGAAATAATGAGGGGTCAGGATGAATGTTTGATTCTAAAAGGTTTAGTTTTTATCCATTATAATGATGAGTGTATTTAATATTCATTTTTAGCATTGAAGATTAGCCTTAAGGCTAAGGCTTATATATCATGTAGCTCATTAAAAGGAAGAGATTGTTATGCAAATCTGTAACATACTTGTAACTTTCCAGAGAGAAAGAGAAAGAGAAAGCCTCAGATAGTAGAATTTTCTTAAGAGAAAAACCAGGGCTAGGTAATTAGTTCCTTATTATTTTAGATCAACTTTTATTAGCTATCCCACACAAGTAAATTTCATTCAGCAATTTTTTTCCCCTAGATTTGGATCATATTTATTTTTTTACTGAGGGAAAGGACTTGGTATATAACAAGGCATATGGGCACAAGAATGTAAGGCACAAACCAGTTAGTAGAGCCTCCATTTCTAAATGTAAAGACTGGCTCTCTCTATGCTTTGTACATGATAGGTGCTCAGTAAATCTCCATGCACCTTGTATAATCCCTCCAGCTACATTATGGAAGACCTACTGTTACAATCCCCATTTTGCAGACGAGGGAAGTAAGATTCAGAGAGATTAACTACGCTACATAGAATCACAATAATTTCTAAGTAGTACAACTGGGTTTCAATCCAGGTCAGTCTGATGCCAAATATTTCAATATTATAGCTTCTCCTATTTTAGGCTTTACTTAAATACTGCCAGAAGGAAAAACACATAACCTATAACCGGAATAATTTACACTATGGTGTAAATTTTCCTCAGGCTCATCTTAACCCCTGTCCCTAACTCAGAGATCAAAATTTAAAACAAAATAGCAGAGAACAGGTACAATTCTAGACTTCTTGTTTGGGGCACTTTCTCCAGAGGGACTGCCTAAAGAACAGGTTCAGAAGCGCTATTAAATGTTTGTAAAGGAAACAGTCTATCGACATTTATGCTCTGTAGACTCATTTGTCATATTTTTTAGGAAAGACTGGTACCTCTGTTCTCATAAGGTAAGTAGCCTATCAAAGGCATCCTGTTTGCCTTTTTAGACAGAAAGTTCAGTGGAATGAGCCTAACACTGAAGGCTGAGGGCTCTGGCACATGTACTGGTGAGTGTTTCTTCTTAAGACAAATGTTGAGTTTTAAGATCAAATAATTTTGGAGACATCTTAAGGGGTCACAATTTAGATCAACACATTCCTGAGAGGTTCTACAAGAAGAAACCAGCCCACCTTGGTGCAACCTAGCATTCGCAAAATATTGGGGACAAAGCACGTTTTGCATGCATCAGGGGTAAACTTTTAGGTCAGTCTAACACCCCTATCTTGATCACATGCAAACCTTAACAAAACCCCACGGAATTTAGTGTAAATGTTTTGAATATGCAGCCAGTTTTAGATCAGTTCATCAATCAAAAACAAGGAATGTAGACAAACACTAATTCATCTAATCTGCTTTATAGATGCAGAAACTGAGAATCCAAAAGATTTCATCTCATAGGAACTAGGAGACAGAGCTGGGAATAAGTTACGGTCCCCTGCTGCCAATTTAAGTGTTTATGGACTATACATGTACCTCACTGGGCTATGGGTATGCATCTGTACAACAGTTATAGACACATTTTCCAAAAACAGGAGACTACTTTATAGAGATTCCTGCCCTATATGCTGAGTCATTAAAGTTTCTGGTTCCACTGTCCCTACACTGAGAGACAGCCATCCAATTGTGCATTCAATGTCTCTGTCTACTGATGTCGTTTGCCCTTCACATAGCTTGGCAGAGTTTGGGGGTTCCTAATGTCCACATAAGTATTATTAACATTGAGTCTCTGAATTAGCAAAAAAGATAGCATAAATTCAAGGTGGAGGGAGATGTTTGGAAAATTACTTTTGGTAGAATAAACTCCCACTTTGAGACTCCTAAATGGTAAATTGCTAACTCATTTGTTTACTTCTAAAATGTTTTTGAGCTGATAGATGCAATTCACCGTAATGAAAGTATTTCCAAGTCCTAGCCCATGATCCATAGTAATTGTGCTTTTATGATCTTATTACAGCAGTCTCCCCTCTATTTTCTCTTGCATTTGTCTGACTGACAGACGCCCTTCACGGTAGCCAGGAATGGAGGAGCAAAGCAGGCGTGTGGCCCCTGGATGGGTTTGCTGAAGAGCTTCTCTTGCAGAATGGCTGGGGCTCTATAACCTGGCCTTGACTGAGGTGCTCACCGTCTTCCCAAAAGCTGATGAAAACCCTCAAATCCTATGCCAGCACCAAGTACCACCAGTTATTTGCTTATTTTCAAAATAATTAATTGCCAGTCTAGTTTGTAAACTGATTTCTCATACATTCCATTGGTGTAAAACAGTAGCTTGCAAACCATTTTCCCCTAGTGGAACACTCCAATTTTGATAAGAATCCTGTCAGATAAAATTACTTCCCGATTGCCTTTCTTTTCTGGTTCTTTTATACACAGTAGGATGGGGGCTGTGAAGGGTGAGCACAGGGAGTTTCCTTCACCAGAGACCCAAGAGGTCCTGGCTGTGCTCCTATAAACGCTGTGAGAACCAGTCTATCCTGCACACAGCTGCCAGATGGTTCTTTTTAGAGCAACAGTTACACCATTCGCAGGTTCAAAGTCCTAAACTGGTTCCCTCAACTAATAGCTCATCTCACTAAGTTGATACTCCTCTGAAAAGCGTGAGGGCTCTCTGTGACTTGAACAAGTCTCCCTGTTCAGCGGTCTCGCCTTTGACTTTGAATCAGGCAGGTTACTTCCCTAGTTCACAGAAGCCATGAGCACCCCTGCTCTGCCTTCTCTCCTGTGGAATTGCCCCTCTCCTGTCCTGCTCCCTATGTATTCCCTCTTCAAGGCCAAAGCAATGCTTCGCCTCCTCTGCAAATGTGTACAGTCCACACTGAACGTTTTTCTCTAAAATCTGAGAGCTTTTGGATTGCACCCCTCAACCACCTGAGAGACATGTGTGCTTTTGAACCAGGGCTCCTTCATCTGCTACCTGACACTTCATGTCTCTGAGCCTCAGCTCCCTCATCTGTAAAATAAGGACAATGATGCTTCCATCCTCAGAGGGCTCATGGGACCTCTATGGAATAACATGCATAAAAAATGAATGAAATAATGAATACATGTGGTCCACCAGCTGCATCATTGCAAGAGCCCAATAAACGTCAGCTACCAGTAGCCTCACACCTACCTAAGAGGTAGGAAGTGACCGACAGGTAATAACAAGGATCAAATGTATTAAATGAGATCATGGAGGTGCTTAGCAGACTGCATGGCATACAGTTCTGCACCCAATCTTTGTATGTTAGCCATTATATTATGATGATGATGAGATCAAGGAGTAACCAATAAATGAAGTGACATATCTACATATCCAAAGTGCTTATTAACACAGTGCCTGACAGAGAGAAATGAAAAATGTTAGCTATTATCAGTGCACATTCTTTTGTATCATTATGTGCCTATTTCCTGCATGTAAGTCTGCTTCTAACTGTTCTGTCTTACCAAATATTAGGCCTATGGTGGGTCCTTTTGATTATGAATGTTTGTCCCAATTGTAGTGAGCCATGGTATCAAGTGATGAGCTCTTGAAGTCAAAGGTTATAAAATATACAACTACTCCACAGTACACTTTACATTTTGAAAGCTATTTTTCACCTTTCTTAAGCATGATGATAAATCCACCAACCACTCAAGCAGACTTTGGGGTTAGCAACATACTGTCAGAATTTGTCAATATACCGTCAGCAACTATTGTCTGCTGCTCTCCCTTCCCCACCACTGGGGCAGATATGGATTTGATCGATACCAAAGCAGCTCAGAGATGTAGCATGTGCAGGTGACCAGGCAGAGAGGTCTCTGCCTGGCCTTTGAGGCCCACTGCCCAAAGTATTTTTATCGATTCGTATTTAAAAAGCATTGCTCTGGAATCAGACTGGGTGGAGGTTGGTTCAAGCTCTGCCATTTACGGCCTGATGAGCCTTGGGAAAGATACCTGAGTTCTCAGAGCTTCAGTCCTCTTCTCAATAAAATGGAGCTAATAATAATACATGCAATACAGAATTGTTAGCTGACCATATGCTGCTGCAGTGTAAGGGACCCAATAAAACATTTGCTATTATCAAAAGGAAGGGTATTGTGCTGACATCAGTGCGCTGGTCTTGACAGTGAACTCCGGTTAAGTAAGATGCTATTTACGCTCATGGAAGGGAGGTGAGGGGTGCTCAGAAACTCTATATTATTTTTGCAATGTCATGTGGGCCTAAAATTATTTCAGAAGGAAGGAAGGACAGAAAGGAGGAAGAGAAGGAAAGAAGGAAGGAAGAACGGAGGGAAGCAGGGAGGAAGGAAGAGAAAGAAAGAGAAAAGGAGAGTGGCAGGTAGGTCTGCCTTGAACTTGGGGCACAGCAACTCCAGGCCACACAAACCACTGTCCTGGCTCTAACTCTGGGGCACTGCAGCCCTCTGCTTATACCCGCAGGGAAAGGCCACGGGGACCAGGAGGCCTGAACGAGGGCCCTTGGACAGTGAGGGTTTCTATCCTAAATCAGCAGACTGGCATGACCCAAACCCAGGAGGCCTGCTCCCTCTCTGGAGGTGCAAACAGGTCAGGCTCTGAGTCTGCAATGCCCAGGAGACCCCGGACCATCATAGCTGGATCGAGGTGAGGTCACCTTATGACCCCCTTGGGCACGCAGCCAGGAAGCCTTCCCCATACAGTGCATCCTCTCCCAGCTCTGCACATGGAGGCTTTATGCCTTTCCAGTTCAGGTTTTAATCACTACCAGTACAGAACAGCTCAGTCCAATAGAATTTTCTACAACAACGGAAATGCTCCACACCCCTGCGGTCCAGGACAGTATGACTAGCTACCTATGCCAACAGAACACCTCAAACGTGGCTAGCGTAACTGAGGAATGAAATGTTCAATTTAATTTAAATCTCAATAGCCACATGTGGCCAGTGGTTATAGTACAGGCACAAATTAAGAATTTTCTACACTTCTGTGAAGGTTCTTGAAACCTAAGGCTGGAACAGAATACCAAAGAGGAACAAATACTTCTACCCACATCCTTTTTGAACAAAATGTCTTATGCTATGAACAGCAGGAGAAAAATGCTCAGCCCACAAGTATCACTGATGACCTGCTTCTGTGGAAGATATGTTGGCTAGAAAAACATATTAACCAGTCCTGATAAACAGGATAACAGCAAACATTAAAATAAGCACTTACTAGATGTCGGAAATTATGCTAAGTGTTCAATACATGTTATCTTTTGTAATCCTCCCAACAGCCTCAAACAGTTGTTGTTAGAACAACATCTAACATTTACTAAGCACTTGCCATGTGTCAGACATGACGCTAAAGCCTTGTGTGCTTTGGCCTATTTCATCCTTACAACGCTGTGAAATCAATACTAATATTACCCATTTGTAAGCCTGGTGATTTTGTGCAGGTTTCTGAATCTCAGAAAAATGGAAATACATAATCTATACATAGAACTATAAAATAGATATACATTAAAAAATAATAACAATATCAATGCCTGTGTGGCCAACACCCCTCTTCAGCATTTGAACATGGCCGTGCTTCTGAAGGCTTTTGTGCATCCCTCCCCAAATACGTGCCCTGATTGTTCTGCTTGTTAATCATCTGCTAACTTGTGTTTGGTAGTTCCGTCAGCCACGTATAAGACGCCTGAACAAATGTGGGTTCTTCCTGTAGTCCGTCCTACAAGCATCTCTGAGCCTTTAAGCTTCTGCAGGTCCTACAGGATCTGACTTTCTGAATTCCTCTGAAATCTTTCAACTGCTAGTAATGAAATACAACACAAACTGGCTTAAGAAGAGAGAAAGAATATATGTCCTCTAGAAACAGAGGACCAGGGGTGGGAGTTGGCTGGTCTTCAATTGTGTTTGGGGTTGAGTTGGTCCCCTTCTCTTTTGGGCTCTCTCTGCTTCTCATTTACTGAACAGGGAACTCTAAGCACCCCCCCCACCACTCCTCCAATAATCCCCACAGAAATCCCAGGATTGAGAATGAATGGACCACTTGGTCCACTGGGATTGGACGCTCATCTCTGAACCAGTCACGACAGCCACAGGGATGCAGTGTGCCATTCCACATGCTTGTGTTGTGGGTGTGATGGAGATACACATCTAGGGCACTCCCACTAGACCCCTTGAATTTAGGGTGAGAGAGGGGAGGTCCTCCGAAGGAAAATGAAGGCTGTTAACAAAGGGTGAGAGGATGACCTCCCACAGGCAGGAGATGCATGTAGAGAGAGTCACTCTGTACACATCCCAGCTGCTGACAAGCCAGTGCCCCAAGACACACGAAACAACATAGCTGCTCCTGAGCCGACCTTCTCCACCTCTCAGGGAAACAGAGGATACCTTAAACATTACCCTGTCTCACAAGGAAAACATTACCAAGAACTTTGATCTCCGGCTTTTCATTTTTATGTACCATCCTCTGTGACTCTAAAAATGTACTTTATGTGTTTCATTGGCTAGTTATGCCTCTAACTTCCTGCTTGATGACTACATATGTTCTCTCTACACCAGAGCGAGGTACGAGAAACAGAAATTAGTGGGTGTTATTTCAGAGACATGCGGCACAGGGATCCACAGAAAAAGACAGAAACAAACAGAAGAGCAACCCGTGATTACTCATAATAAAGATAACCACTGAACAATGAGACTTTATGGGGCTAAAATTATGAAATATTTATAGCCCAGTTGATTTTGTTTGCTGCTGCAAAATACTTTTCATTTTTCCCATTTCTCTCTGGGCTTCTACTAGAAGCCATGGAAACAGCCCCATCCTTTTTTTTTTTTTTCGCCCTATGCAAATTGACTCACCTCAGCATTTACTGACCTTTTCTTGGCATATTCTTTTTTTGACTGTGGCAGTGTCAGCTGTAGAAGACGGCGAAGAACCCACGAATGCTTTAAGAAGACAACATTAAACATTAAACGTTGAATCAGTGAAAGCACAATTACTGTGGAAGTTTAAAATGTGTATAGATCAATGACTATTTCCCTACCTTAAAAGAATGAACAGTTTTCAATATGAGCCTTTCCCCCAATTTGCATGTAAATTGCATTTTTGTAAATGAATCATCACTTCAGGTCCAGGGGAACTAAAATAAAATGTTTTTTGCAGTAAATCATGGAATACTTGTAAAGGAGAAAAAAATACTTCTGAGCTAGTGTTTATAAAGTTCCCCATTTATAGATGTGGAAACTGAGACAGTGAGGAATGGCTTACCTAAGGCCCGGATGTAGTGAGCTTCTGCTGTGATTTGTATTAACGTCGTTCCTTCCTTCTTCCTTCCCCTCCCATCCTCTCCCCTTCCCTCCTCTTCCTTCTTCTCTTCTTTGTAATCCGTTAACTGCAGATTTGTTTTTAATGTTTACTTTACAAAGCAGGCCCAGAGGGCCAAAAGATTATGTTCTTCCCAGCTGTTGTTTAGTTTGGACCCGGTTTATCGTACAGTCTGCAGATAAGGTAAAGCGTATAGGTTTTAAACAGCTTTTTGAAAGAGAAGGGTCACAGGTGGAGACTAAGTGGTTTGCAACTGGGAGCGATTTTGCCCCCCAGGGGACATGTGGCACTGTCTGGAGACATTTTTGTATGCCATAAGGAGGGGGGCCGGCGGGGGGGCCCTACTGACTTCCAGCAGGTAGAGGCCAGCGATCCTGGCACCCACTGTGCGATGCCAAGGGCAGCCGCAGCAGCAAAGAAGGGTCAGCCCCAAATACGAATAGTCCTGATGTCGGGAAGCCTAGGTTCAGTGAACCCACTACTGCAGGTGAAGACTCCCAGAAAAATAAATCTCCTTTTACTAATTCTGTTGGCTCTACGATATTACAGTGTCATAAAAACCCTGTATCTCTGTAAAGAAGCTGCTTTGAGAAGCCTTCTGACCCACATTAGCACTTCCCTCTCCTTCCATCCTGTGAAATTGAACTTACTCTGAGCTGACCTTCCTCCGAGGCTTGGGCCCTGCTTGGGATTAAATTCAGCTGCACCTGATAGAGAAAGTCTGAAAACCAGGGGCTCGTTTTCCTCACAGGGAAGAAGTCTGGGGGTAACGGTCCGGGGGACGATGCGCTGGCTCCATGATGCCATCAGAGGCAGGGGATTCTTCCAGCCTTCCACCTGCCTTCCTGGGAACTTGGGTCCTCATCCATGTCCCCTCATGGTGGTATGATGGCCACTCCGCCCACAGCCCAGGAAGGAGGGGGAAGGGCAAACGGTGCAGGGTGCCTGCAGGCTGGGGACATCCACCTCCGGTGCCCATTCCAGGCAGACGCCCTCCTCCGAGTCTGTGCCACAGGTACTTACAGTATTTGCTGATGACACACCCGGCCATTGTTCCTTCCTGCCAGTCTCTCTCCACCACTCACTAGATGGTAACCCTTTACAGAGAAGGTGGCAGCCTGGTGACACTCGGACCCCTGCGCGGGCAGCCGTCTTACCATTTCTGTGCTCTTCTCCCTTACCTGCCTTGAACCTTTGCTCCTAACAGTGGAACCTGTGGCCAGGCTGCCCTCAACTCCCAGAGGGGCTTTCCTCTCCCTGTGCAGGCAATCCAAAATGCCTGAGCGCTTCCATCTCAGTGGGGGCAGCCAGTGACTTCTAACACAGGGGGACGAGGGCCTGGCTTCCTTACCTTGAACCAGAGACAACCTGGAACTGGGGTCTACACCTCCAAGCTCCCTGCAGAGCTGGCTAGGGCGGGCTTCCTTAAGGAGTCTCTTTCAGCTCTGCCTTCAGAGAATCTTTGTCGCTCAGCTTGCTTCTGGGAAGCAAACCATGTTGCCTTCACTCATCCAGCACTTGGTACAGTGCCTGACGCATGGTGGATGCTTGAAAACAAGGGCAACTCTGCTTAAAAAAAAACAACACCAGGTTAAACTTGACGGAGCCACCAGTTCAAGCGAAAGACACATTTTAACTCAGTCAAGTTCATATGATTCAGTAACAGTAACTAATTCTTTATAGAGGCTTTACTCTATCTGGTGGAACTCAAAGTAGTCTAGTCGACGAGTTGGAAATTAAATTCTTACTTCCATTTGAGGTCATGGATTGCTATAATATGAGAGGGACTAGGTCTTTAAAATGTGTATCATTTTTCAAGTAGCTTAGGCTCCCTTTCAGAAGTCCAGAAGTCTCCCCTTAGTAGATACCACAAACCCCCCTTTTTGGTAAGCAGGCTGGCTACACTGATATCACAGAAGCAAAGCTACAGGTAACCTTCAATGCAGGTTCGATAAATAAAGAGCTGGAGGTCCTGGAAGAAGAATGAGTCCCCATCTGGAAACTACATCCCCTGTGTCCAGCACCCCTGGGCCTCAGGGCTCAGGATGGAGCCTACTCGTCACACCCGATGCAAGCAAATGCCCCCCTGGCCTGCTCTCTACCCTTTATCGTCCTGGGTCCTCTCCAGCCCTGACCTCCCCCAAGCCACAGAGAGCCCTGCCTGCAAAAATGAAGGCATGAAAGCAGAGAATCTGGGATTGGCTGAGTATTCTGATTTTAGTTGGTATTATCTAGGAGGTGACACGAAACGTGCCTCCTGCAAATAGTGACGATAGCCAACACTGACTGTCACCATGTCACATCTTGTACCAAGCCCTTGAGCCATTTTACCTACTTACTCTTCTAAACAATCCTATGAGCTAGAGACTATTATTAACCTTATTTTTCAGATGAGGACACCTCCGTCCAGTTGTATGTCTGGGACCCCCACCCCCATTCCCAAACAGGTTAATGGGAGAGCTGGGATTTAAACCCAGGCAGTCTGGCTCTGGAGCCCAACTGATACCCAGCCATAAAACCTAACATTTTTAATGCTATGAAGGTTCACCATGAGAAAAAAAAAAAAGATGAAAAAACAAACTAAAATAGAATATGCTGCAGTTTTCTTTTTTCTTTTTAAGTACGCAAAATCTTTCTTAGGAAATAATGGAACACTAACTTGGCTTTATTGCTAGTGTGCCCTTTTTCTAAAATTTGTCTCCTTTTAAAAACGTGTATTCATCCACTCAGTCATTCATCAAATATTTATTGGGCCCTTACGTGTCAGCCATTGTGCCAGGTGCTGGGGGTACAACAGTGGATAACAACTCCATCTAGGGAGAAAGACGAGCAAATAGCAAATCACCAAGCCGAGTGAGATGCACTTTCATGGGGGACAACAGTGTTGCACCATGGGAGCATCCAAACGTGGTTCCTAAGCCAGCTTGAGGCGAAAATGACACCAAGGAATGCTTCCCAAGGAGACATAATACTTCCCCAGGGGAGAGGTGAGGGACCTGTATGCGGGCCTGCTGGATGGGAGAACATGGCATATTCAGGAGCTACAACAGAGAGTGGCAGCTAGAAAGTGTTCAGACAGACAGGAGGAGAGACAAATTTAGAGAAGCATGTGGTGGCCAGGAAGTTGGGACTTTGTCTAACCCAGGTGCCCCAGAAAATGGAGCCTGAGGCAAGAGTTAAAGCACTGATTGGGAGACTGCGAGTCCAGAGTGGGGGTGGAGGGGTCAGTTAAAACAGGGAAGTAAGGCAAGTGAAGAAGAGAGCAGTGTGAGCGATTGGCCACGTTACTTTGGTGGCCACTGTACTGGAGGTCACAGCAGGTAACTGGGCAGGAGAATCTGCTCAGGACGAGGGACTCCTCTGGAAAGGTTGTAAGAAGAAACCCTTTCTTCCAATAATCCACAAAAGTAGAAAGAAAGGGAAATCTACCTGTCCACCTGCCTTCCATCTCCTGTTTCCTTTTATACAAGGGACATTTATTGGGACTTCATTTCTGCATACTTCTGGTGCCATGACCTGGTCCCTTAGGGGCTGCTCAGGAAGCCAGACTGCATGGCCCGTTGTGTCCTATCTCATGTGACTCTGGAAGTTGAGGGGTACCTCAAAAGGGAGGCTGGTGTGTGAGACTGGAAGGCTGTGTGGGCTTCCCACTTCAACTTGGGCCCCAGCTGGCAGAGCTGAACGCCTTTAGAAAGGAGGAAAGTTGGAAGAATCTATGGAGGTAATTGGTTTGTATCCAATACAGCTTTTTTCTGAAAGGAGTTCTGAAGGAGCTTCAAGCCTAGGACAACCTCAATCAGGTCAGAGCTCAGAAAGGTCATCTGCGCTGCACAGAGATGTCAAATCCAAGAGTGGACAGACCACACTTCAGCCTGCTTTAAGGGAGTGGCAGTGGGCGTGAAGCCAGGTGAATGGATTTGGACAACACTGAAGCAGTCAAACTGGCTGTACTTTGTAACTAAGCAGATGTGGAGGGAGGAGAGAGATGGCACCTAAGTTCCTGGTTTGGGCAGCTGAGGAATAGATGGTGGTGCAATTTCCTGAGAAAGGGAATGGGTAGGTAGGTGCAGATTGAGGACGGGGTGTGAAGGGCAGGAAGCAGGGATGGTGAATTCAGTTTTGAACATACTGAACTTGAGAGGCCTGAGATGCACCCAAGTAGAAGCATCCTTGTTGGCGACACTAGACATTAGTCTGGGGTCTGGGAGCAAGATCCAGGTGGAGACACAGGTTTTAGAGTCGCTGGAGTAGATGTGGGTAATGAAGAAGGTATGGTGGTACATGAGACACATGAAGTAGAGCATGTAAGAGCGGGAAAAAGGACCACAGACCCAGCGCTCTCAGGCCCTGCAATGTCAATGAACACTGGCTGGACAGTCAAGCCAAGGGGAGACTCCTGGGGAGGCTGAGAAAACAAGACCAGAGGTGTTCCCAGGGCAGGAGAGCTTTTCAAGAAACAGGAGGTACAGTTTGGAGATGCTGAAGAGGAATCGATTCAGGAAAAGAGGGGGAAATGTTCAACAGCTTTAGAAACAAGGAGGTTTTTGGTGTTGAGAGCAAAGTAAATAGATTCCGTTGGATGTGGGGTGTGGAGAAGCAAAACAGGGATAAGCTGTATCGATCTGTGTCGCAGAGTTTATTTACAACTTAGAACAGTCACGGATTAGTGATGACACAACGGTCAGGAAATTTGAGGGCAACACAGAGTTCCAGTGGGTTTTTGCAACCTACCTGATTTATGTTTCTTCTCAACATCTTTTACAACTTTTAATGACGTAATTTGTGTGTGTGTTTGTCGTCTGTCTCCCCTCGAGAATGAAAACACTCGGCGGCTGAAACCTCGTCCTGTTCACTCTTGCAAGCAGCCATTCAATAAATATTTGTTGCATAAAGGGTTGGCCACATCTGATGAAAATATGTAAAGGCAAAAAATAATAGAAATAACAAGTTGAGCTATGCAGCCATGTGTTTTGACTATTGACAAAATTATCACAGGTTCAAATAAGAAAGAGCAAGTTGTGAGGATGACTATCGACATCTCCAGTGGTCAGCCTCCCAGACGTTACTCATAATTCGTGATACTTGTAATTCAAATGGAAATGGACAAAACTCAAGGACTGTGATGCATTTCAAAAGGATGTTTCTAATCTACAACTCTTCTATTCTCCTTTTATGATGAAATTTTATTACCAATTATGTCCTAGATGGCGAAGTAATCAGCTCAGGGAAAAAAAATAAATACATAAACATTCAAATATGTGTGCATTAGTGTGTGTATATGTACTCTAATTTTGAAGCTTGTATTTACAGGATCTTGCATTTTTACTGAAGGCAGTAGCATATGTAACATCCGTGCCAAAGACTTCTTGGCTGTATTATAGGAAGAAAGAACTAGTGAATCATTTTTAGGGGAAGTAAACACTGAAACGGCAGTTCCAAAAACAACACTTTCCTTTGCCTAATTTGTTTTTGTCTCTACTTTCCACAGTTTTTGAATGCTAACATGTTTTTGCAGAAATCAATTAATCATATGGTTTTAAATGAAATATTTCATAATTTTACCATGTCCAGTTCTATCAGTGACTCAGTATGGTGGATGTGCTCTCAATTTAGATCATGAATCCTGGTCTCCAAATCTTGTGATCCTGTGATAAGGATGGTATATGGATGTCCGGAGTAAAGACAGACTTTCAAATCCAAGAAACATTATTTTTCATTATTGCAGTGTAAATTAAGAAGGAAAGAAGATCTTAACACTGTAAGTAGAAAAGCAAAACTCATAAAAGCAGAACAATTTGGGGGAAATTCATTTGTTCTTAAATAGATTTTATTAGTATAGGTGTGAAATAGTTAAACTGTAATATTTCAGATCCCCCTAGCTTGCTAATTAGTCAGTTTAGGGTAAGTTTAGGCTGTTGGAACAAATGTACCCTCATATATCAATGGCTTTCAGTCATAAAACCTTACTTCTAATTTTCATTATACATCTGTGTCAGAGCTGTGTCAGAGAGTTCTACCTCCAGGATGGCAGAGTAAATTCCTAACAGAGTGCTCTTTCTGCAGGTAACAACTCTGAACTCTGAACAAAATACATGGAAAGCTCCCCCAAGGCTCTGGAGAGTGAGCAGAAACAGGGAGATTTTGGAAGGGACCATAAACTTGGAAGAGGCATCATCAAAACATGGGTTTCCCCCCCCAGTCACAGCATGGGTGGGCTACATTCTACTAGAATATCTGCTTTCTAACCTGAAAGAACCACAGGTTCTGGGGCAGCCACTGTGGCTGGAAAGGGAGGAGGGATCCCAGAAAAGAAAGAGCCAGAGCAGAGGAGCCTCACATTCTGTACAGAAACTCTGCCGAAGTCTTTGATCTCTGAACCATGCAGGTATGGGGCAGACTCCAAAGCAGCCTGGAGAAAGACTAAGAAATGCACTGACATTTGAGCTGTTTCCCCCCTCCACGGGCAACACAGAGTTCACCATTTGAGTCTGTTCAACTTAATTAGCTGCTAAAACAACCACCAACACTCTTCCTAAGAATGTAACAAAATCAAGAGTTTCTACAACAGAACCAGAAAGATGGCAGGAGAGGGGAAAGAGGGGAACAAAAGGCAGAGGGGCAAACAGGAAAAACAATGAAATGATATAACTAAATGCCATCAGATTGATGATTACAGTAAGCGTTAATGGCTAAACACTCCCATCAAAAGACAGAGATGACCATATCTGGCTCTGGCTCATCATTCTGTGACCTAAGCTACAGACAGTACTTTCTAAAAGGTTGAGTCTATTGTGGCAGAAGGAAAGGAGCAATGGAGACATGCATGATGGTTCCTACAGCTTCAGCTCAGAAGTGACCACCACCGTTTTCACTAGCATTTCATTGGCTACAGCAAGTCACATGGTCACGCTTGATGTCAACAGGGCAGGGAACTATAATTCACCCATAGGGAGAGAAAGCAAATATTTTAAAACAAATAATAAAATCTACTCATGAAGGCATGTGTGGAAGAGTAAGCTTTTAGGGTCAATGACTCCTGCATAATGGGAATATTCTCAGAGAGTATAAATGCTCCTGACAAAATCCAGCTTTATCTCTGTAACCACAGATAGCTCAGTAGCTGACTTTCCTGTCTGAATCACTCCTTTCCTCAGAGATTCTCTCTTCTGCTAAGGGGACCACCCAGAACCACTTCTGTGCTTGCAGCTAATTGGGCCAGGGGGTGGATACCTGGCCCAAGCTGAGCCATTCAGATTTTCAAATCTGCTCAGTCCTGTTAGGTGCCTAAACTGTGAGGCCCGGCAAAGCCAGGAGTGAAATGAAAGTGTCTGGCCCTTGTGAAGGTAGAGAAAGCCCAACAGAAGAAAAACACTCTGTGTTCTTGATATAACCTTGATATAACCCGCTTTTGTTAATTTCTTTAGCTAATTTGAGGGCATTTGCATCGCTCCAAGGGCACCACTCACATGGTAGTTTATAAACGTTATGCGAGAATCACTCACACTAAAATGTGAATGTTTCCCTAGAGTTGTACAATACTGCAGATGTGGCTTTCCTCTGCCATTACAGATAGAGAGCCCATGGAAGATACAGAGACGGATCTCGGGTAATAGGTAATGACAATAGTTTGGCAGAGCAGATTCAGAGAGAATAAACTTCCAGTTTGGTGCTCAGATCTGTGCAGCACCACCTCTGGAATAGGAATAGCTGGAATTATGGAAACACAGTGGATGGAGACCAAGCAAAATGTGAACCTTGACTAATTACAGACAGAATTTTTTGTAATTTTGGTGTAAAACTCCTTGTTGGAAGAGTTGGTTCTGACATATTAAGGTACCGTTTGTAGTTATTTGATAATGCCTTTCTCTTTTCAAACATGACAGAATATAATCCAGTACATATTTCATATATACATATACCTTTCATTGACTAATTTATCTTTTCTTATTCCTGGATGGAAATTCCATATCATGTAGCCTTAGTTCTTTGATTTACCTTCCAAAATAGCATGAGTATATATCTCTGTTGATTTGATTTTGCAAACTTATCTCCTTATATAGTGAAATATCTAAATTTAAGTTTAGAGCCTCATATATTTTAAGAATTTTGCCTTCCTTTGTCACATAATTTAAAAGTATGCCATATAATCTTATCTTGTACAATTCAGAACAGTAATACAAAATGTATAGACAAAGGCTCTCCTGCTGTTTTAACCACCATTTAGCAAGTCTTACAGTTGAAGGGTTTGCCGACATAACTATCACTTTCTTATTATGGTGAGTATATGAATCTTTTTTATGAACCAGAGAAAGATGCTTCTATAGCCAGGCACAGCATGTACCTTCCAGTTCTGAGCCCCTTGCTCTTAAATCCCGTTCTGGTATTTTTTTGGAAGCATTAGAATACAATAAGCTCTCAATTGCCTAGACTGAGAAAGTTCCCCAATCATTCCTAATGGGCCTTGGTTTTCATTTTTTTACTTAGAATGTACAGTGAAATTTAAAAAAACATATTATTACTATTACTATTTTACATTATTGAGTGTTCCCTCTTCATCTATCTTCATGTAGGAATTTTATGTCTCTGGGGACTAAACTAAATTATATCAGATGCCAAAATTTTCTTTAGATCATGTCATCATTACCTTAATTCTGGTTGGAAAAAAAAAAGATGTTGACAACATTGCTTAGCATGTCCTTTGTAATGTGCTAGCTCGCTGTCTTGGTCTATCTGTTGGAAATTATAGCAGAGTACAACAAAGTAGATCAGTTGATAAATGAACCTGACCATCTTCTGCAAAGTTAACAGCACCGTATCAATTTAAAGTGTTGTTATTGCTGATAATTAAGGAGACAAAAATCACCAGCTGAGGCTAAATCCAATCTGTTACCCAGTGGAACAGATTGTAAAAATATTCCCTCACAGCTCTTTTGAACTCTTGAGGGTTTTTTTTAGAAGCAGCTTGGCACATAAAAGGAAATTGTTTGTGAATGTTAGCTAATTTGGTTTTGCCTGATGGCTCTAGGACTGGTTTAAATGCCCTTCGTGAACCCTCAGATGAGCTTCCTTCAGCAGAGTTATTCACTGGAAGAGGGCTGCTTGGATTTGCTAACCCTATGATGTGCTCCATTGAAATAGAGGAGCCGGTTTGAAGTCCATTCTCAAACACCTGATTCCTCCCATCTAACTCAAAAGACATTTGTTCCCCTCAGAAACCAGTCGGTTTTCTTGAAACCTTGGCTGACTTTAGTTATGTTAAACTTCCTCTCTGCTCCCAGATAGGCTTTGTAATAAGGAGACTTGGTCCCACACTCTTTCCTGCCTAGTCGTTTTCAGTCTCAGACATTGTGAGTGACTTCGCTGATGCAGTTCTGCACTCTGACCTGGGCAGAATTACAATCAGAGATGGGCAAAATTCACTTGGCATTTTTCATTTGGCATTTAGTATCTTTCAACAGCTTGAAAAGGATTTTAAAGCAGCCACATAAATATTTCTATGTCAGCCAGCATTGTGAGTACAAATTACTCCACCAAGAACCAATAGTCCTAACTTTTAACCCTAAATTAAACAATGATAGCATTTATTTGAGGAGGAGGCTTTTGGGGGAGGGCACTGGATCCTGCCTCTGTCACATACTAGCCGGATGACCTCCTTGGGCAAATCACTTGCCTCTCTTGGGCTCACTTTTCTTTATAAAATGGGGGTAATAGGGCTTTTATGAAAAGTGAGATCATATTTGAATGTTAAATAGTATGTAGGAAGAGTTTAATAAATGCTAGGTATCATTATCCCACAGTGTCTCAGGGTCTCCCAAGAAATACAGCATATATATATATATATATAATACTAGCCGGATGACCTCCTTGGGCAAATCACTTGCCTCTCTTGGGCTCACTTTTCTTTATAAAATGGGGGTAATAGGGCTTTTATGAAAAGTGAGATCATATTTGAATGTTAAATAGTATGTAGGAAGAGTTTAATAAATGCTAGGTATCATTATCCCACAGTGTCTCAGGGTCTCCCAAGAAATACAGCATATATATATATATATATATGTTTTTGATACATATACAAATACATATATACATACATAAATAATATGTATTTATTAATTATAATAATTATTCATAGTTAAATATAATTAATATAATATTATTTAACATACTATATAAATAATGAAATATATGGAGAGGGAGAGAGAATGAATTTATTTTAAGGAATTGGCTGATGTGACTGTGGAAACTCGCAAATCCAAAATCTGCAGGGTAGGAGACCCAGATAAGAGGTATGACTCCAAAGACTGCCTGTGACAGAATTCCCTCCTCTTTGGGAGAGGTCAATCTTTTTTTGATTAAGGGCTTTGATTGATGAGATGAGACCCATCCACATTATGGACAATCTGCTCTACTCAGTGTCTACTGATTTAAATGTTTATCTCATCTAAAAAATACCTTCACAGAAACATCCAAAACAATGTTTGACCAAGTATCAGGGCACTGGGACCTAGATGAGTTGACACACTAAATTAACCATCACACACAATAATGAGAATGTAGTGCTCTGTGGGTCCCACTGATAAACACTTTCCGTATACTGAATTATCTACTCTTTGACCACAACCCTTGGAGGTAGGTACTTTTGTGTCCATTGTACAAATGAGAAAACTTGAGCACAGAGAGGCTTAATAAGCTGCCCAGAGTGACACAGCCAGCAATTTTGTGTTTTAACCACTGGATTAAACTGTCAGCAACACAGGACAGAGCCCCCAAAGTGTGGCACCTGCTATGTCTAGCACAATCAATATTTGTTAAATGGATACACAAATGGATCACTCATCGAACCTCTTGGATTCCTTTAAGCAGGGGGATATTTTCTCTTGATTAGCATTTTTGTTTTTGGTTTTGTTTTGTGGATGAAACCTCAAAATGACCTATTCTTGTCTGAGATACTCCCCAGCAATTGGTAACAAAGTGCTGAGAGAATGCCTGTGAATAGTAAATGAAGTCAGACATACAGACAGACTGCAAGAAGACAATCTAAGTTTCCAAGTTCACTTGTGTCTGCCAAGGGAATGGCCCAGGGAGGGAGAAAATCTAGAGTTACTGTAAAATAGTATCCATCAGTATAAAATTCTGCTCAAACACTCCCAATATATATTTATATATATATTTGTTTATAAATCACATCACATGCTATTGCATTGATGTACATCATAACCATACACAAAGAAGGCACTTGGCTTTTCTGAGTCTTCCCATTTTGTTTTTCACTGACTTAGTCTTCAGTAGGTGGAACTTGAGGCCTCTATACAGCTTAGTGAGAAATGCATTGATTAGCCATTCTAACGCATACGTTCAATAAGATCAGGGGAAGCGTGCCAGCAGAAAAGCACTGTGAGGGTGAGATGAGAAGATACAGGGAAGCTCTTGACACAGTGCACGGCACTTGTTTTTATTACAAGAAATGCAGTATGGCACAGTTAGTAAGAGTATAGACTTCAAAGCTGCCAACACCCAGCTCTACCATGTAATAACTTTGACTGATTACATGGGGTTGTTGGGTGGGTGTAACGAATTTTAAAAAACAGCAAACAAGTCACATCTTGGCATGTAGTAAGCATTATATAAGTATTATTGGGCATCACCACAAGGAACCAATAAACATTAATTGTGATTAATTGTAAACACCAAGGTAATGATCTACGCTGAGGTCATTATGCCTCCATCTCTATTACTTTGTTTACCCAAAATGCTATTCAGTGAAAATGTTCAGCATGACTTTGAAATACTGCCCTAGGATCTCATTCATCTGTGTACCATCTGTACTATTATTTACTTAATATTTGTCCTTATTGGGACCTACTTCACTATTTTTGAGAGCAGTAATATTAGTGGGATCATGGATGTGATGTGCTAGTAACATTTATTTTCCTAAAAATACATGAGAAGCACATAACCATTAAACCATTTCCCTCACTAAAAGAAATACTGCTTTAAGCAATCCTTAAATTATGAATGCTTCAATTATAGTCACTCTACTTAATGAGACTGAAGAATATTCCAACATATGTTAGGCATTTAACCAGGTTCACTTCAGAACACCCTAGTACTCTAGAAGTTGAGCAAATTGGGATTCTAACGTTCTTATCTTTTTGATTCCTGATTATTATTATTTTTGGAATGAGAAGGATTTCAGTTTCATTCTTCATAATTAGATTTTCCTTTAACTAGATAGGACCTATAAAAACTTTGATCACTGTTACCATAGATGTTGTAAAAGTACCAAGTTAAATTATATCAAATTAACCAGATCCCTTACGCATGCCTATGAGAAATTAAAACAAGAGCTGAGACTAGAATATTGAAAGAGAAATTAAGCAATATTGCAAGCAAAGTTATCTCTGTCAAATCAAATGTGGAATTTCTACCTTCAAGCTGTCCATAAATAATATTCTAGGCAAAAACAAGTCACAATGACTCAGACCTTTAGATGTTTGGATTATCTGCCATCACTGTTGACTCTGGAAATAGATTCTTCTCATCTAAATCAGCATCCCAAGCAGATTTCTTCAGAACACGTTGACTCAGATTGTTAACAACTTGAAACCTATTAGATAATCACATGCATTTACTTTAAAATGGGACAGGTACCTCCTTGGAAATAACACAAATGCTTGGACAAATGAAAGTCATTTCTCTAATCTATGTTTAAGGGTTCCATTTTAGCACACAACTCTATCATCATTATTACAGACGCAAAAGTCATGATTACTGTAACTCTTAGGGAAAAAAATCATTTGAGCCAGATGTATGCTTTTAGTTGGTCCTGCTCTACATCTACGTGGCAAGATGCAAAGTGATCTCATTTAAAAAAAAGCACTGAATTAAATGGAGCATTCTTTGAATGAGGCACACTCACATAGGTCACGGTTTCTCAGTCTTGGCACTTACGCACATTTTGGGCTGGATAATTCTTTGTTAGGAGGGCTGTCCTGTGCATTCTGGGATGTATAGCTAATTGCTGGCCTCCACCCACCGGATGCCAGGAATTTCTTACCCCAATTGTGACAGCTACAAGTGTCTATAGACATTGCCAAGTGCACCCTAGAGGCAAGAATCCCCCTTTCCCCCATGGAAATCCACTGACACAGGTCATGAAGAAAGCTTTGTCATTGCTTATCTGAATATCATTGCAGTATTTGGGGGTAAAAGTTGATTTCTTTGCAAGGGATTTGTGTGTGTGTGTGTGTGTGTGTGTGTGTGTGTGTGTGTGTGTGTGTGGCTGTATTACAAAATCCAAACTATAACTAACAAAGGTAAGGGAGAAAAGATTGAACCTTTATTACCCAAAGCCATATAAATTCAATAATAAATAATGACTCTCTCTAAAAATATGAGAAGTCTTTTTCAAAGTCATTAGTTTTAATCATAAATGAATTTAGCAGCGTTTCCTTAAAATTTGCACCTTTGTAATGAACTCTGATAAATTCATGGAACTGGATGTTAAATAAAGAGATAGAAAGGTCTAATTTGCTGGTTCATTAAGCTAGCTTATTTCTAGACATTGTGCATATTGCTTTGAATTTCATATTTCTGAGCAGTAGAGACAATAGTGGTATCCATCTTTAATGTAGTGTGGCAGACAATTAGGAGCTCAAATGGATTAAATCTCATTTCATCAGAGATGCACACAGTGATTATTATTTTATTGCCAAATACTGCCAGCATTACATTTCTTCAATACCCGACTTGCATGCATAAATTTGCATTAAACACCATTTGGTAACAACAATAATTTGGGCCATTTTCTTACTTGGCATTATTCTGCTCTTTACTACTAGTTCACCCAACACTAGCTTTAAGGGTACAGAGTTTTATACACCCTTGATATACAAGAGGCAGCTGAAGCCCTTGAGGAAAGGGGGTAGCATTGGGGTTGTAAACATGAGCCCCCAGGTCTGTCCCTCTCAACCTGGGTGACCTTGGGAAGGTCACTGTCCTTAAAATAAAACTAGAAGGTAACTTTCTGTTTTGTTTTAAACACTGCTGGTCAGGTTTTTAAATTCCAAAAGCATTGCTTTTTTAAAGAAGAGCTTTCTAAAAATTTCAAAACATTGTTTTGAGACAATTAAGAGCCATTACCCCAGAGCTCACCTCTCTTCAGCTCCCTATTATTCATCACTTAGTATTTATCTGCCCATAGTTCTCACTGACCTCCTACAAACACCTACAAGTAAGCTTACCCAAATAATTCCTTTCTTAAAAAAAAATGGGATTATACTATATGTAGCTTTTCTCCAGTGTGCTTTTCTGGGTAACTTTAGACCTAAGCTATTGCTTGGATTTAAAAAAGCTGCATAATATTTTGAAATATAGATAAAGTATTTGTTTAGGTATTTCTCTGCAGATTGACCATAGCTTAATTCCAGGTTTTTGGCACTCTAAACCATAAGGTAATCATTGTTATCAAATATATAGCAGGAGGCTAGATTCTTTCCTGCAATTGGAAATGGGAAACAGAGACATTCCACCTACTTGGACTGCCTCCTTTGAGGCTCAATTTCCACAATTGCGCACTAGGAATCACAATATCTGGGCTATGTCCTTTGCACACTGATCTAAGGATGGTCTGAGCCAGCGTACGAACATGACGTGGCGGTTCTAGAATCAGGAGAGCACTCAGTAAAAATCCCACTTGAGCCACACTGCAACCTTTCAAAGCCATCTGCTTTTGTCTGTTTGCACAATCCGACATAAAATGTATACATTTGTCATATGCTCCCCACCTCCTGAACATTTTTTCAGTAGGTACAACCACGTTTTCAATAGATAATTCACTTTTTCATTGAAAGTGTTCCAGTGTAGTGCCTGAGTTCTTAGAGCTGAGAAAGATAAAGCATGTGTGTGTGCATGTGCGTGTGTGTGTATGTGCGTGTGTGTGTGTGTGCAAGGGACAGAGAGAGAAAATACACTCAGTAAATTCACTTAGTATGAAGTGAGAGCCATCCAGGGACGTGCTCATAAAAGTGCAGGCTTTAGAAATTGGTCATATGATGAAGCAATATTCCCTATATTTAACATTTTACCTGGTACTGTAATCATTTTTAGTTATTCTACTAAAATATCTCATAATGTGCAATGCAACATCTCCCTCCTGGAAATGAAAGGTCTTCAACAAATACGTCCATATTTATAGCATATTCTTATAGGAAGCAAGGAAAGTGTTGATGCACAATGACTGTTTCACATCTATTCAGCAGGTTAAAAAAGTGTACAGAACACTCTAGTTCAAAAGCTTGGGTCTAGACTAGAGATTTTTAAACTGTGATCCATTCAGTTATGAAATGGAGTTAGAGGTCAAAAGTGGCATTTTTTAAATGAGATAGAATAGAACGGAAAATGTCCGAGGGCATCACTCCAAAGGGTGACAGCTGTGTCATAAATCTTTTGTTTCAGAAATACGGACTCGTGTGTTGTGTGTGCTCCTGCATACTGGATCTCCGTGTTGAATGTTTTTCTTATTGTGTAGCTATCAAAGACATTTGGAAGTCCCTCTTTAGTGACATTTTGCTCATGAGATGCATGAACAGTCACTGCTTGTGGTCTGGGGCAGCTGCCTCTGCGTGTGTACAACAAAGATGTGACCAGACGGAGCATCCTTCCTCTTCTCTTTCCCCATCATCTCCTCTTGAAAAGCAGCCTTTGGTTGGGCAGAATAAAGAGATAAGGAGTTACTAGCATCACCACATGTTGACCCTAAGCCTTGAGAAGCAGCCAGAGCTAGTGAGATAGAAGTTTGCTTTCAGGAGCCTTTGCTTGGAAAGATCGGGTATGGACCCTGGAAGGCCTCACCCTGGACACCCACAGTGGCACCGGAACCCTGGGAGGGAGGCAGGGCGTGGCGGAGGACAGGCGGGACAGCAGGTGGCAGGAGTAGAGGGAAGAGGGAGCCCAGAGGCAGGAGGGACTCTGGGATGTCCGTTAGAAGGTGATTTGATGGGTAAAGTAATGCCTTGCTTCATCTTCTGGATTCACTGACAAACTTTCTTTCTAGAACTTCATGAATATAATAAATATTTATTAAGCACTTTTTTTGTGTCAAGGGCTCCTCCCTGCAAATGTAGCAGTGACCAAAACAGGCAGAAGCCTCTGTACACAAGTCGTGAAACCAGCCATCTTGGAGGCAGAGGACATATATTAAACAAATGACTAAAGTGCACAGAATGTCACATGGTGGCACAGACAATGGAGAAAAGTGAAGTGTGGAAGAGGACAGTGTGTGTGGTGTGGGGGCTGGGCTAAGGATTGCACTTGTACAGACAATGGTCAGGGAGGAGAAAGCGGACCAAAGACTTGAAGAAAGTGTGGAAGCCGGCCATGCAGATCTCAGGGGGAGAACATTCCAGGCAGGCATGTGACTGGTGTGCTAGAGGGGAGAATAGAGGAAGCTGAGGTTAGAGGTGCGTGCGGACCGGTGCAGGCGTGGTGGAGGGGGGCGGTAACACTTCATGGAGCCTTCAGGGCCTTTGCAGGGACTCTGGAGTTTGCTCCAAATGACAGGGGATGCCTGGCACATGGGAGGGTGTTGAGCAGGTGACGTTATAAGTCTTACATTTTAGAAGGATCAGCCCAGCTACTGTGCAGTGGGGAGTACCCCCGTGTGCTCTCGCGTGTAACAGGTGTAACTAAGGGTGATGCAGAGCAGGACAGATGCACGTGAAGCAGAAAGGAAGCCATCCACAAAGGTTGTAAGTCAAGGTCCACTGTTCCCTTCCTTCTGTTAACCTCACGATGACATCAGCACAGGAAGCTGCAGTTCTCGGTGACCAGCCTCCATCACCTCGTCTAAAAGTGGCCTGTCAATCAGCATAGACGGAGAAGGTCACGGTTTCTCAGTCTTGGCACTTACGCACATTTTGGGCTGGATAATTCTTTGTTAGGAGGGCTGTCCTGTGCATTCTGGGATGTATAGCTAATTGCTGGCCTCCACCCACCGGATGCCAGGAATTTCTTACCCCAATTGTGACAGCTACAAGTGTCTATAGACATTGCCAAGTGCACCCTAGAGGCAAGAATCCCCCTTTCCCCCATGGAAATCCACTGACACAGGTCATGAAGAAAGCTTTGTCATTGCTTATCTGAATATCATTGCAGTATTTGGGGGTAAAAGTTGATTTCTTTGCAAGGGATTTGTGTGTGTGTGTGTGTGTGTGTGTGTGTGTGTGTGTGTGTGTGTGTGTGGCTGTATTAAAAAATCCAAACTATAACTAACAAAGGTAAGGGAGAAAAGATTGAACCTTTATTACCCAAAGCCATATAAATTCAATAATAAATAATGACTCTCTCTAAAAATATGAGAAGTCTTTTTCAAAGTCATTAGTTTTAATCATAAATGAATTTAGCAGCGTTTCCTTAAAATTTGCACCTTTGTAATGAACTCTGATAAATTCATGGAACTGGATGTTAAATAAAGAGATAGAAAGGTCTAATTTGCTGGTTCATTAAGCTAGCTTATTTCTAGACATTGTGCATATTGCTTTGAATTTCATATTTCTGAGCAGTAGAGACAATAGTGGTATC